CATCACAAAAAAAATAGCTATAAGAGAAAAAACTTAATTGAAACTTTATAAAAATGAAAATTTTCTGCTCTTCGAAAGATAGCATTAAGAAAAATAAAAAGATGATTCACAAACCTGAAAACATATAAGTATTATTTAACAAGTAGTTTGAATTCAGAATATCTAATAACTCTCTCAATATTAGAAAATTGTCCCCATAAAACAATGGGGTACTACAATACAAAAGGAACAAACTGCTGATAAACACAAAAGGCATGAACTGCTGTGATGAACAAATCTGAAATGTTTATACTGAGTGCAAATAACCAGGAAGAAAATGTAGATTCTATACTATGGGCCTGAGCAATAGAAGTCACACCAGTTGTTGCCTGGACAGCTGCAAAGGAACACGAGAGAACTTCCTGGAGTAATGGAAAGGTCCTAAATTATCTCAACTGTCCTTGTCATATGATTGTCAAAGGTCATCTTTTGTAACTTAAAATATATGTGTTTGATTATAATTTTTATTCAATAAGATTTTTTGTTTCAAGTGAGAAGAAGGCTAGACTGGAAGACTTTGTGGTCTGCAATATGTTAGGCAAGCTACACGTGACATTTTAAGTCCCCAAATAATCCAGTCAGCTAGGTATTATCAGCTCCATTTTACTGATGAGAAAATCAAGGCTTAAAGTGTGTCTTGCCCAATATATATTTAGTGGTGTAGAATGAATTCAAATCTATCTTTTTGTTTGCAAAATGAAGATCATAATATATACATTATTGAATTGTTATTACAATTCTTAGATTATATAAAAATAAAGCACTCCAAATTGAAATGACTTTGGAATCAGAAGTCAAAAAGATAGGTTCGAACTTGTAGCCTCAACCTAACTCATTCCTGTTCTTACTTAAACCAAAATATCAGCATGCTCAACAGGACTGAAACAAAGCCTGGGGGGTCTCATAACATACTAGTGAAAACAGCCAGGATCTAATCCACAATTATTCAGTTTATAGTCATGAGAACCCCAGTTCCCATGAGATATCAACAGCATCAACTTTGAGATGAAATGATTTTCAGCAGCTATTACCAAAATCTTGAAAAAGCAATCACAAAAACCCCTGGCACAAGAATTATATTGAATGTATAAGCAAGACAAATAGAAAGTATAAACAGGAATCAAGTGGAAATTTTAGAACTGAAAAAAAATCAATTAAATTCTTACTTTTTATGAAATTTAAAACTGCAAAGATAAAAGAAGAGTGAGTTTGGTAATTTTGGTAGAAATTATCCACTCTCAACAACAAAGAGAAAAATTAAGAAAAAAATGAGCAAAATCTAACATTTGGGTCATGAGAGCCCTAAAGATGTGTTAAGTACATGTAGCCACCTCCTAAGATGAATGTAAACAGTACGTAGTGGAGACATGTACTAACAATTTTTTTATAAGAAAATATCTTAAAAGGTTGCTTGGAGAGAAGTCCAAAAAAGAAGATTGAGAAACAATGATTTATACACTGTGTGTCAATATTACTAAAATCACAGAGACACAGTCAGATATCATTTACTTTCTAGTAGAAGAATATACTGCCACCTCTAGTCTTTTATTTAAAGTTGCAAACCTACTTTGATCCAGTTCATAGATTAGTGATGTACTAGGAAATACAGGAGGTAGAGAAATATGTTAAATCTGCCATCTGTATGAAATTAGAAAAATTGGCTATAAAAAATACTACACTAAAATCCAAAAATAAACTCTTTAACAAATCACTTGCACTGGGTGATAAAATAAGGGAAAGAAAACCTATAGATAAAAGACACTAAAATATACTTTTTAAAATTTGGCTTATTTTAGGTGCAATTTTGGATGATTTTCTTAAATGCAAAAGAAAAAAATGATTGCCATGTAGTAGGCCAAGGTTAATTTACAGCATTCATGTTTAAAATTTTTAGAACCAAACAATGTTTGCTAGATAATTTAAATTTAAAAAAATCTTAGCCCTCCCCATGTTCAGGGCCCCTACTCCCAGATACTCTGGAACACTGAGGCAAGAAATCACTTGAGCCCAGGAGTTCGAGGTTTGAAGTCAGCCTGGACAACAGAGTGAGACCTTGTCTCAAAAAAAAAAAGTATCTGGGAACACTATCTGGAAAAGGAAACATACAAAAGGAAAATCAATAAAATAAAAATTAAAAAGTTCAAAGAAAATCAAAAGGTTAAAAAACAATATGTCATTCATAAAGTGTTGCAAATTTGCTCTTAAGAGGTGCCCTTAAATGGATAGGGAAAAAAACAGCTGCAGAATGACAGAAAGGTGGTAAAAAAAAAAAAAAAGTATATACCTAACTAGAGGTAAAAAGGCGTCGAAATTTTGGCAAACTGTTGATGAAATGAATATTCATTATGATATTTATTTATTTCATATGTTTTCCTATTTGAATAATTTTTAATTAAAAATGGCTTTAAAAATTACTTGGCCCTAAAAAGTTCCCTTCTTCTTAATAAGGAAAAGATACAAATACAAATAGAAGCCAGTGAGATTGCATAGAAATGCTTGATTATATGATAGACATTTATGTGATCTGGAATATGTGAATACTGATATTATGGTTCATTTAAATAAAGCACAGAATTTAAATTCTCTTCATAGAGAATGGGGAACTCCATATTAAAACTTGTTACCTGCCAATGTGTTACGTGGGGAAGAAATGATACATCATCAAAAACGGAACTTATAAGATCATTTGCTGTTCAGGTTGACACTCTAATCACCCACATAAAAATTTCTGTCTTATCTTAAATAATTAGAGATTCTCCACATGTGGCTTTAAGGTAAAATATGCTAAATGGAAGCATTTTGATAACTTTCAAGTGTAACCAGGTGTGTTCCCCAATACTGTAGGTTCATTAATTTGCAAAACATGTCTCATTTCATTCCTACATAAGAACTCACATTTTCTTTTCTACTTATTTTTTTCCCCTTGAAAGGTTATTGAATTCGTTGGAGAATAAGCACTGTCTTGAAGTTAGTGGTTAAACAATACATCCTACTTGTTGAAACTTAATTTCAAAACTATGCTTAATAATATAATATACTTAGGAATATAAAGATACCATACTGCTATTTGGTAAATCAAATTGTTCATGTGTACTTTTTTCAAGGTTACAGTTTAATAGCCAATAGTTGCCTAATTTGACCACAGTCATAGAGGAAATTTAAGAAATGTATTTTTAGAGGGTTTCTCAAACAAGAATTCGGGAGGACTTCAAGAACTACATGGAATCTAACTTTGAAATATATGGCAAAGATGAAGACTATTTAGAAATGATCCTGTACAGTCTTGTTGCTTCTTTATTGCCAAAGTATTTTGTAATCAGTGTTTTGGAGAGATTAGTGCTTGTACCTCTAGTTTTACAAGGTGGACTTTTAAAAATAGTTACGTATTTATTTTACTAAAATAGAAAATATGTGAGTAATACAATTAACTCTCCATTTGCAGATGTGGTTGCTTAGAATAAATCAAATTGAAAAGGACTTTGTTAATTTGAAATGACAAAAATCTCAGTTGTTATGCATGTGACCTGTTTGGAAAACCCTGATCTATCAACAGTGAAGCAAACATCTGTTATTAAGAAGAAGAAATCTGAATTTCAGCTCAGGTTTAGCCTAGAGTTGCTCATTCAATTCTTACTTCATTTTCTAATTAAAAGATTAGTTTAGGGTCCATCATGAACTAGATGGGGAGCATTCGAATATTTGAAACTAACTATAAGATTGTGGGGCATGAGTCACTTTACTATAAACCCAGATAAGGACTTGGAACAGACTTAATTTAGCTTCTCTAGAGTGGTCTACACTGCCAGAGAGGTGATTGTCTAACCATCCAGTTCTCAGCACCCGGCCTGCCTAGGTTCTCAAAGCGTATTTTCAAAGTTATATTTGAGCTGCCCCATTTTAGTTTTATGATTCTCTGACTCTCTCTCTCTCTGCAAATCTACATTTTCAATCACTTCAGCTGAGTATGTGCTACACTAAAATTTTATTAAAGCAATCTGGCTTGGAAATCAAGAGTAACCATTTGGGTCTGGAAGCATTAAAAGAATTGTCTGCATAAAGTGATCCCTTAAAGGGGAGAGACTTCATGGTTATGGCAATAATATCTTAAATAATGCTTTCAGTTGCTAACAAGTTTCTTTTAAAATGTTAGGCTGATAATGGATCTTCCTAATTTCAGTTTACAAGCTTAATCCTCATAGTTTTTGGTCTCCCTGTGAGCACTTAGGAAAAAAAAAGAAGGAGCTTGGGAGAGTTCCTCCATTAGCTTCTGTCAGGATCAGGGATCCTACACTACTTACAAGCTAGCACTTTCTCATAAATGCTGACAGAAAACACAAGATGGCTGGGTCAGAGCCTAAGGACTCTGATCACAGCTCCCCAGCAGTGCGGGCTGCATCCTGTTTTGCTTTGTTTCCCTTTCCCCCAGTCCTAGGAGAGTGAAGCAGAGGCCATAATAGATGCTTGCATATGCAGTGAGTTGTGGTACAACTGAGGAACTTTGAGATTGGAGGACCCATTGCTTTTATAGCAAGGTGAAGAAGCTTGCTCTTTGACCAGAGGAAGGTATTACCTCATCTCTCACCCTTTAAAACTGCATCCCTTTGCAACATACTCCATCAAAGACTGGATCAGGGAGTCATACTCTTGGTGTACCGGTAAGAAATGAAGTGACACCCATAACCCACAAGTAGTCTTCAGTTCACTGACAAATCCCTATTTCTCTCCCTCCTTCCATATACTATATCTCAAGGGAAATATCAAGGAAGATAACTTCTCTAGCCAGAGATTGAAGGAACATAAGAAATCAATGGCACATTCATAATTATGTGTTAAAAATAAATCAAGTATTATTTTGTAGCTCTCCCCCAACATTTCTGTTTTACAAATGAGCTTACACTGCATACATTAGAAATAAGAGGTCGAGGCAGCTTGGGGTCGATGAGTGGTGGGTGATTTCCCAGATGCTGAGGCACCTGTATCCTTGGCACAGGCCATCACTGAGCTGTAGTTGGAGTAGACTCTGTCTTTTGAAGCATTATCTATTTGCAACGAAGTTGCAGTCTCCGGAGTTCCAGTCACTTTTCATGGAAGGATTGAAGAGTCTGACAGAATTATTCATCAAAGAGAATCATGAATTAAGAATAGCGGGAGGAGCAGTGAGGGATTTATTAAGTGGGGTAAAGCCTCAAGATGTGGACTTTGCTAGCACTGCCACCCCTACTAAAATGAAGGAGGTGTTTCAGGCAGCTGGAATTCGGATGATAAACAACAAAGGAGAAAAGCATGGAGCAATTGCTGCCAGGCTTCATGAAGAAAATTTTGAAATTACTACACTACGGATTGATGTTACCACTGACAGAAGACATGCTAAAGTAGAATTCACAACTGACTGGCAGAAAGATGCTGAACGCAGGGATCTGACTATAAATTCCAGGTTTCTAGGTTTTGACGGTACCTTATTTGATTACTTTAATGGTTATGCAGATTTAAAAAATAAGAAAGTTAGATTTTAACGAAAGAAATCAAAGAACTCTTCTCTGAAAACTATGGCACTCTGAAAAGAGAGATTGAAGATGATATAAGAAAATGGACAGACATCCCCTGCTCCTGGGTAGGAAGGATTAATA